TAGGCCACTATCTTATTTCCTAACGAATGTCTAGAATAAAATTCACATCAATTATTGGAATTAATATGAATTGTTATCATAACTGCATTATAATGATAATGTCTATCTGTTGTAATTTGTGTTATACTTGAGATTATTTGTTTAGTCATTCCCCTTCAGAAGATAACTTTTTTGTTAACCAACATAAGAAAAGAAAGAAAAACATAGATATAAACCATTTGTTCTTACATTATACCAGTATTAAGTAAAACACATCCCATATATCAATGTATAACGTACAAAATAATTACTTATGAAGAGCATGTTTTGTTCGTCGAATGATGACCATTTTAAGGATGACGTCACAAATCCTTGTTCAAATCTTTATACAAAAACATTTATGCTGCAAGTCTATTACTGTTCTTCTCATATCAACAGCTTTCGTATCGAGAAACTAAAAATTTGATCTGTTAGTCTATTTCGAAGCACATTTACGAGTTTATATACGTTTACAGACATAAATACAATATCACTTGGAAGACGTATTCAAGAACGATAAATAGTATGACAGATCAAAGAAAAGTGATAGGTTGACCCTTAGCTTTGTTTGTGGATAGTTTGTGATCTCAACCTCCTGCTCTATGAACAAAATAATTCTTTAAATTTCTGTTAACTTATTCGAACGAAATTAAACTGAAACATCATTGCATTGTTAAAACATCAAAAGTAATCATTCTATGTATCTGGGTAATTATGATGATTAGACGTATTTAAAATATAGTACAAACTATGAATCCCAAAAATAATGTAATTTAACCAAGAAGTACTAGATGAGCACGGACAAACGTATTGTATTTGGAATTCGAAATCAGGCAGTCATCAATTACAAAGGAATTATTAGTTCATACAAACACCATAGGAATTCTTTTGTCATGTGACTTTGATCTACTATTCATTCCATAGATGTTCCTGTAATTTTAAATTGGGTCACTTAGATCAGTGGCCACATTGCAAATTGATCGACAGAATTCCATCAGCATTAAGAACAACTTGACATACATGAAATTAGTTACTACCTAATGACCAACCAATTGTAAACACATGAATCTCAATGAAATTTTATCACGTCATGTTATTAAAGTAAAATTAAGATGAACTAGTAACCTTTCAGTTGGCAACTTAACGCTTACATCATCCATTCTACTAATGTAAAATACTAAAACAAAAATAATAAGATTTATAATCGTTGTGAAACAAGTGTCGATTTCAATGGGATACACCATGAGGTTGATTCTAAATCAAAACAGAACAAATGAATCGATAAAAAAGGCACTCGAATTATTTTATAACGTTAACGCGATATCCTTATGCACTTTATCATAGATTTTTCTATTTTCCGTATTTACTAATTTTTTTTTACAGGTTCAAGCATTGTATGAAATATTTCCAGACGAAGTTTTAGGCTCTGGACAATTCGGTATTGTTTATGGAGGTAGGTTGAACAAAATCGAAAACATCTATTTTTTATACAAACTGTAATCATCAATGTATTTAGCCTCACCATTTTTTTTTAAATCAGTAATAAGTGTACAGGTTTGAGATTATCGTGTTTTATTCTATGGGTCGTGAATCATCCTTGGTTCGACAGTTATTGTAAGCCATTAAGTACTGGACAAATATTTCGTCCGTGAATCACTAGATAGTTATTTCATTCTAGTATTAGATTATCCGGTGTTATACATTCACGACTCCACTAGAGTTGCTAACCTATTGAGTAGAAGTTTAAGCTCTGATCGTGAGGCTTAAAGACCTTGGGTTCGATCCCCAATGGGGTTGTGATCGAGCCCTATTCAGCCGTTCAGTGGTTCTCAGTTTTCAATGGTTCTTTAACAAAAATGAGCTCGTGATGTAAGACTCCAAATTTAATAATATTATCAATTCTTCTTAATAATAAAATATCCTATTTTTTCCCGCTTATGTAGCCTTTTGACTAAATAACAAATTAACATTTTGTTGCACTGAAACTAATAAGCTAGATTTCAACGATCCATTTGAACAAAGAACTTAGACTTTTGCTTCAATAAATTTATCATTATACTTCAGGAATTTAGTGAATGCTATGAATTGAGTAAGACACACACACATGGTCTCAAAAAAATCAGAAACATCATTAAGATATACTTCAAGCATGATATTATCCAGAAAGGCAACAAGAATTTCATAACTAGATTATTTAGAATAGAGAATGTATCAGCTTCATGGTCATCCGTATGAGTTATTTTTTTAAAAATCTTCACAATGATCGCCAAATTGTACTTTTATTATAGTGAAACGTTTAGAAAGTGATTATACAAAATGAAATATATGACAGTTACTGGTCGTAAACAGATTATATGACTAATAGACTAACATTTGTTAACACGATTTACGAGGATGTACCTGAATTATTTAAAATTGCTGAGATAACTAGTTGACTACTTAACAACCTTATAATTCGATTCTGTTGTTAGCCTGAAGCCATATGACATAACATAGTCCAGTCTATATGAAGTCATTTAAGCTAGTGGACATACTTCAATTTCATCAATAAAATTAGATCACTATTAAAGTCTAGACAGAAATAACATTGATTATTGGTTAATCAGTCATAAACAATGTGGAACCTAACACAAACGTTCATCACTTCAAAATAACTATATCACATTAGTACAACGGTATGCCAGAGTAGTAACATTATTAGCAGTAACAGAAAAGATTAGAAATATAATTTTAAAACATAGTAGCATGATTAGAAAAAACGATACGATTCGGAATTTTCACTGTTTACTTCAAAATAGTAATCAAAAGGGGTTTCGTGGAGATTTCAGTATTTTCATAGTTGAAATCATGAGTCAATTGAAGCTAGACTACCATGGAAAACCTGGAAGCACTGAACGGCCGTTTTGTGGGACTCATCAGCACTGCGCAGTGGATTGGTTGGATGCCGGTTCAGTGGTCTATCGGTTAAGTGCTGTCGTGCGAGACTTGTAGGTCCTGTGTTCAAATCTCGTGAGGTGGGATCGTGAATGTGCACTTCTGAGGAGTCCCAAAATAGAACAAAACGGCCGTCCTGTGCTTCCAGATTTTCCATAGGGGTCTAGTTTCAATTGACTCATGATTTCAACTATCAAAATAGTATCCTAGTGTTACTGTCAGTTGATATTGTTATTGACATAGTTTTATATTTGACAAATTGATTATTTTTAATAAATTACATTGAAGTATATGAACCGTAAATAATGTTCACATCATCAAAATATATAAACTAGTTTTTAGTCAATAGATAGGTTGGCATAGTAATATTTCTTGTAACTAATTCAAAAACGATTGTGTTCAAGAATAATATCAAGATAATATCTGATTTAACAAAGAAACAATAATAGTGGTGTTTAAATACGTTTACAACAGTTGAATAATATTACTGCTAACGATTTTTAAGGTCAGAAGGAACCACTATTTATTTATTATAAGTCATATAAATAAAATCTTAACTTTGTATGTGTATTTTTTTTATACTTATAAAACAAATTTAGAGAGTAAATTACAAAACAGTAGATTGTTAATTTAAGTAAATGATTGATTTTGACTGTTATTACATTGACTTACTTTAAGTTGGTAGGTTTATAACTGAATATTAGTTTGCTATATTACTATAACTACAACAAATTTCGAGATCCGAAGATGGTAGAATTTTATTTATTTATTTAAACACAAGGGGGCACCAAATATATATGCGCCACACAAATCTCATTTGATTTGTGTGAGGCCTGTGATACTGCCCAGGTGCCTAATTCGAAGCAGGTGGTTTCCTTAGGGGGCCACACCTAGAGCCTTCGACCTAAAGGTCTGATCCACAAGGCAGTGGATCATCGTGGGGAGATGCAGTTCAATGGTAGCCGGTGGCCAACAATTGGTTCGTACACCATTTGTTCCTTCAGGATACTGGAGCCCATGTGCACCATTGGTTTGGAATCAGGGTTTTCCAACTCCCCTAGGTGAACTTTTCGTGTCCACCGACCCGGTTAAAGTGCCAGACATTCGCTTTTCGTCCTCTCAATTTCGTAAACAACACCCCCGCCACGAGAAGGCAGTGAGTAGGAATTCCCTGGCAGAGGCTAAATACGCGTGGCCATGTGAGAGCATTTCGAGAGGGAGAGCGGACTCTCCCCACTCTCGACCGTACCAGGGCATTTGGGGGTAGATGATAGATTCAACTAGATAATGATTCAGACGATTCATAATGTTAGGATTAATCAGTCGCAATTGGTAGGTCCTGGGTTCGAATCTCGCGAGTGCGGGATCGTGGGTGTGCACTGCTGAGGAGTCCCATAATAGGTTTTCGATGGTGGTCTAGCTTCAATTGACTCATGATTTCAACTTTATATATATATATATAAGTGTAATCATACTGTTGATGAATTATCCATTTTTCATAGGTATACATCGTAAGACGAAACGCGAAGTGGCCATTAAAGTTATTGACAAATTACGTTTTCCTACTAAAAGAGAGGCACAACTAAAAAACGAAGTATCCATTCTACGTGTAAGTATTTAATAACAATTTTATGATAAAATCATATAATACTATTTAATAAGTTAGTAAATGCATTCGAATTAATGACTGTACTGATTTTCGTTTTTGTCTAGTTGTGATAAGATGTCTTATAGTTAAAAAAAAAACTTATTTTCTAAGAAATAGTAGTTTGTAAGTTCAACCCCGACTCCAGTTATTTTGGTGTGAACAACTGGTTGATAGTACTAACCCTCAAACTAAGTGTTTGACTTATAACATTTACTTGGGAGACGAGTCACATTTCTGAACATGAAATAAGTACGATTACAATTTACAACACCAATGTGTTAGACATGGATTTTATAGACTGTCTACAAATCTATGTAATTAGAAATTGATTATTAAGCTTAATTATTACCTGCCAAATGAGGTTGATGGAAGAGAAAAAAAACTTTATCAGCTCGTAATTGTGACAAGCATGAAAAAAACTATATTTATTATGCATTAAAACTTCATGATTTGAATGAGGTTTATAATAGTAGAAATGAATGGATGGACTGAATCACTCTTGATAGATAATATCCAACGATACTATTTGATCGATTGATAGTCGCTCACAACACGCATATTCTCAATAAACTGATATCAAAAGACAAAATAGCTGTTAAGTTAAAAACGGGTTTTCTGTGTAATAAATATTTATCTAGAAAACAAAATACGTATGATTAAATATTGTAAAAACGAACGGATATCAATTTTGTGAGTCGTTTAATCTACAACGAATTAAGATCTTTCCCATTATATCAACACTGAACTAAATTGATTCAGTATTTCACTAAATCAATAAAGAAAAAATGTTTCATCACATTTTTAGGTAGGTAGGTAGAACAGATTTACAGTTACTAACGTGTCGGGAAATCTTCTGATAGGAATAACTTTGGGGGAATATTCATAATTATCAGTATAGTAACAATGGTATATAACAGCAGATGAGTAAAACGTCTAACGTTTTAAATGCTCTTTTCAACTTATATTGTTACAACTTACATAACATGTGTCAATTATGGAGATAAAAATTCTGGATAAGTACTCTCACAACTTATATATATATATCCTCAATCTGCATTGTTAAAAAATAGGATACACTATTTTCAGTAGCGTAATTACAATTTAAAATCTGATAATCTACAGATTGATCACCATGTTAATGGTTCAACGTAACATTCATTGTGAAATGACTATAGTTTCAATTAACAATTTAAGGGAATGATAACATTTCTAAAATTATCCAGTACCTTACAGATTGCAAATATTTTTTTCTATAAATAAAAACATTTGAAAATCCATTCCGTACAGTATAATATTCTCAAAATTAACATTAAGGTTAGTCTGTCAATGGCAAATGAATAACTATACGATCAACTCAATACCAATTAGTAACTAAGCCCATTTTTGCAACAATTAACTGTGAAAGTAACACAAATATTGGTTTAAGCAAAATACATCTGTTATTGACCAAGAGGTTAAAAGTGCGAATACATAAAAGCTGGCTTAGAGTAACATTTGTCATAAGGAATTTGACGGACACTAACAGCCATCCCAATCGAAGTACAGTGAAATTCGAACCAGATGAATGCTCACTGTTCACTACCAAAATGATCGAAAAAATAGTGTTGACCTTACTACATTTTTTTCATTTATCACGACATTATTTGCATCACAATTGGGAATAACCCAGTTACTGATATGAATTATTTTTTTCCCGATTACAAAATAGTATATCTTATAAACCGAACGATATCGCTTCCAAAAACATAGCATGAATGATTTCTTTTCCTGGTTATTTGACTTCTTAATTTTTGGCTGACCACGTCAAGTCGTTAGTAGAGTGACAAAATTACTCAAAAAATATTTATATGGACGTATAGGACAAAACATCTATCCAGTGATTCCAAGTTTTTAATGAACATAATTTAATTTTTTCATGTAACGGCCAGTGATGTAAACCTCGAAATGAAGAACACCGAGTTATTCATGAGGAAATGTGTGAGCTGTCAGTGATAAGCTGACTGAACTCAACCATAACAGGCGTGAAACAAATATCATCGATGGTAGGTGCGGAATATCACAAACTGAGGTAAAAATACAAATCACTGGTTTCGAACAACGTATTTATCACGAAGTTCGTGTTGAGTTCTTATTGTCGTCAGTACCTACTGCCATTGGTCCCAACGCTAAGACAAAATACGAGCACAGCGGCTTTCCGGTAGTTATCTAAATTTGTCAAGACATACAGACAATCCATATTCGGCTTCGATACTCGTGACGTCCTGAAGCAGTTAATCTTTATTTATGATTTCGCTTTTCTCTAAATTTAATCACATGTTATAGGATGCTAAACGTTTTATTAATTGTTGTTTTGTAGAATCTTAATCACCCGGGAGTAGTAAATCTTGAAAGGATGTTTGAAACACCAAAGCGCGTAAGTTAGCGAAATTTTGAGTGCTTTTGTGACAAAAGTCCCTAACAGATACATATGTGTACCTCGTGTACCGAAACAATAATCTTATGTGCACTGTGTGAAAATCTCGATATGTAGTCATGTGAATAAGATGAGCAATCGAAACTAAAGAAAGGGTAACCATGGGAATATCCTATCATGGTTATAAGTTCTGCATATGAGTACGCAGTATGAACTACATGTTAACGGATAAACACCACAGACAATAATGACAACACTTACAATAAAATTTTGGCTCCTAACATGATGTCTCTTTGCACAACCCGTACGGTCTCATTTGATCGACTGATATTTCTACAGTGAGTATACATTTAATGAATTTGTAAAACTAAGTACTAAGAATTCAGGAATCCTATAGGTTGAAGTAAAAGTATACTGAAAAACATTACTGTTAACAAACACTTTCCGAGTACTTACAGAAAATGAACTGCGTTGTTCGGTTCAATACTCACATGACTAGACAGAGAAGCAGATAAATTTAGCAGACAGTTAAGACAGAACGTAGTAGGTTTCTTATTTAGTATTTAGAATTGGAGCCAAATGAATTTCACAGATAGACACTACTTTTATGTACTGTATAAAGAAAGTCTAATTTGATTAACTTATCGTAATCAATTTACTGACGGAGTCTATGTTTGGACGTTTTTTCTTCAGGTATTTGTGGTAATGGAAAAACTAGCAGGTGACATGCTGGAAATGATCCTTGGATCGCCACAAGGTCGACTGACAGAACGAGTTACGAAATACCTGGCAACACAAATACTAGTTGCTCTGCGATATCTCCACCTGCGAAGCATAGTACATTGTGACCTAAAGCCAGAAAATGTCCTTTTGGCTATACCACCCAACGCAGATGTAAATAATATGGGGCTGCCGGAAGTTTCTCAGGTAAGATAGGTTAGGAACCCGGGATAGCATTTACGCCATTAAAAAATGGCAACATAAACAAAACCTACGTCACGGTGGTGCGCAGTCGATTAGACAAACCGTGAATAATACAGCCACTCACGCGTTTTCAGAAGCAGGACAAATGCCAAGTGGCTTCATTACACAGAAAGAACAGACCGCCATCACGTGTTTATGTGCAGCCGGATAAGATTACCAAATATCAAGAGCAGGGAATTACTCTCCTTCAAACTTAACTCCCACCCCATTTTTTCTATTCACAGAGTGTAGCTCAACAGTTTCCCCAGATCAAGCTGTGCGACTTTGGATTCGCAAGGATTATAGGCGATAAGTCCTTCAGGCGGTCGCTGGTTGGTACACCTGCCTACCTAGGTGAGTTTAGAACTTATAAGTCGTAACAAACACAGCCCTAGAGATGTGTGAAAAGATCACAGATGACGTAACAACACTCCACTTTCCATTTCAGCTCCTGAAGTACTGAAAAACCGTGGATACAACCGAGGGATCGATATGTGGTCTGTTGGAGTGATACTTTATGTAAGGTAAATCAGATTATGTTGAATCTAGTTAACGTGCTTGGAATTGGCAGTCTTAGTGGGACATTTCCGTTTAATGAAGAGGAAGATATAGCCGAACAGATAGAAAATGCTGAGTTTATGTATCCAAGTGACCCGTGGGATAACATATCGGAAGACGGTAAGACTCACTTTGGGAAATATATGTATCCTCATAAGCTATACACTTAATAACACATTTGCTGCAGGTACGTTTGCGAAACCGATTCTCCGTTGAGAGAAGTCTTAACCACATTTGGATGCAGGTAAGCTCATGAAATACGCAACTAAAAGCGATATAATTTAAGGAGGTATGGAAGTACTCGCTAGCTAAAATAGAATTATTTGATTTTTAAAACTGAGCTTTATCCTTTTGACAGGACTACATATGTTGGTGCGACTTACGTCGGTTGGAAGCCACAATCTCAAATGAAAGTCGGTTTCTTACTGCGAATGCAGATGACGCACGGTGGGAAAGATATCGTGAAAAATGGAACAGCGAGATTGATGCAGAACCAAGGGACCGTGTTTCCGATCAGACATCACGCAAGCTTCTTACATGGAAGGAACTCGCTTGGAGAACAGATATAAGTATTTAGCTTATATACTTGCAGCCAAATGAACTTGTACGAAACCCATTGTTATATAATAAAGAAGTTTTTAATGATTGATTTGTAACACTTGTGCATAATGGACAGGACGAGTGAGACAAAATGATAGCACAATGGAAATGTGAAACAAATTAGAGTTTAACTAGATGTATTACGAGAAATTAAGTTCATAAATCAATTTTAGCGATAACCGGTGTAATATTGACTCATTGCTGGCGGAGCGGCAGCAGTTGGGACCCCACCTGGAGGAGCTCCGCCAACTGGGATAGTACCATACCCAGAAGGATAAGTAGAATACCCAGGGTAATAGCTTGCATAAGGATTTGCGGTTGGTGTCACTGTTGCGGTTGGAGCACTTGGGACGCTGCTGGATACACTGCCAGACACAGCCGAAGGTTGCTGCTGTTGTTGCCACGCGTTAAACTGTTGTGCAGCAGCCATCGCTGCATCGTACTTCCCAGCTCCTTGAGTACTTCCAGTAGCACTTTGGGGAGCACCATAGTAATAGGAGGCATAAGCTGCTGCAGCCGGTGTCGAATGGTCAGATGTGGCAGTAGTGGTGGTGGCGGAAGAAACTGCTGGCGCGGCTGTCTGTTGAGTTAGTTGAGGTTTGTCAGCAACAGCTGAGGCATATAGTGACTGCTGGGTGGTACCAGTTGTGGGTGCACATCGACTAACGGTTGCAGATGGCTGAGCAGTTTGCGACCCGTACGTACCGTATCCGTATCCATAGTTGTAAGCACCATAAGATTGACTAACAGGAGGGGCGTTTTGATTACTACTTCCATCCGGTTTTGCATTCTGAGTAGAATAACCATACCCGTAACTTTGCGGTTGAGCTTGCTGAAAAGAAAATTAACAGGTTTCATGAACGAGATAGGAGGAAAAACGTTATCAGGGCAAGGATGAGTATTCTTCAAACGTTAGTAAGTGAATAGCATTGATAATCATCATAACATAGTTAAAAGGGAATGCTGTCTTATCACAATATAAGTCTAGAATGCGTTAGTTAATAATTTACCTGGGTTGATGTTGCGGTTTGTTGAACTTGAGGTTGCGGTCGATTAACTGATTGTGATGGTGGATTATACGTAGTGCTCTGTACGGGTGCAGCTGGAGGGATCGGTTGTGAAGCAGGCGGTCCAACATCAAACCGACTGCGGCCAGACCTCGGACCCCCAGGAGGATTAGATGGTTGAATAGTTGCTTTTTGATTACCATTTGAAGTAAATCCGCCTGGATAACTGGATCCCAAAGCATAGCTATTATATGCACTTGTCTGTGAAGTAGTATTGGTTTCTGGTTTGGTATCAAAACGTGATTGTCTAGGACCGGGAGGGATATTGGTAGCAGAGGGGTGGTTGTCGGAATAGCGAGCAGCACCAGATGCATACAAGCTAGAACTATCTGTACTTGAATGTTCATTCTGTGACATGGCTGTTTTATCAGGATCACTGGTACCATAGGCGTGAGATCCTCCGAAAGGACCGCCTGAATTTTGTTGCATTCCAGGTCTCCCAGATCTGTCTGACGCCATACCTCCACTGTAAGGATCTGAGCTAGGGTTTGTGAAATTACCCTGATCACCAGTATATGAGTTGGGATAATTAGAAGCAGAATTAGGATTCCCATATGAAGGGAGACTCCCTCGATTGTAACCACCACCAGGCGCATTTGGATATCCTGCTGGACCACCTGAGAACGGAGGATTGCCTCTTTGATAGGCAGAATAACTACCACCAGAGGGCTTTTGCAATGCGTTTGCGTTGTAGGGACCTGGTCCGCCAAAACGTCTGTTTCGATAATCATCATTTGGTGGCCCCGGATATTGCTCCTCAGCTGGATTTTGATAACCTTCCGCACCACCGTACATATTATACTGTTGGCTATCGTCGGGAAATCCGCCAATCATATCACGATCAGGCTGAGCACCGCCACGACCGGAAACGGGTGCGTTACGACCCAGTTGACTACGATCAACACCCCTGTCAGTATTAGCTGCGCGTCCTGGGGCGATTGCTCCACGTCCCATAGACGTCCCACCGCGACCGGGGGCTCCGCGAGATCCCTGCATTTGGACACCGCGACCACCACCTCCGTACCCTCCTCTAAAGCCTCCACTCATTGGGCCACCTAAAATATAAATGAAGAGACATAAATAGGAAGCAAAATGATGGATATGAGTTAGAGCATAATCAAGGGAATAACGTACCCTCATACGGCGGCTGAGAAAGTGAGACTTCGTTCATATCATAGGCATTGCCAATTGGCTCTGCATCACCTGCATTACCATCAAAGCGATTATACATAGTGTCATTTGGCCCACCATAACCTGGGTTACCTCGGTCCATTGAACCACGATAGGCACCACGCCCAGCACGCGAATCAAAATTCGGTGCAGGGAAACCGCCTCTTGCAGGGCCGCTCCTCATCATGCCTCCGCGGGAGTTGTCGAAACCTCCAAATCCACCCGGGCCAGACATCCCACTTGGAAACGGTCCACGATTCGGAGGCCCGAAACGACCACCAGGAGGACCACCACCATACCTTCCACTGGGCTGACGACCAAATGACTCTCGGTCGCTATCTGGAGAAACACAGACGAAAACAAAAAGCGTTACGAAGAGATCGGATAACTATTGAGTCTTAAACTATTATCGACAGTTGTCACTTACTTCGATCGAAGCGATCTCCCTCACGACTACGATCACGTGAAGCATTGTAACCGCCTCTGAAACATAAAGAAAAGTTGTTGAGAAGCCTGGAATCACTAAATTACATCACGTTTACTCCTAACCACATCAATTTTTACCTGTAGTCACGGCGACCACGATCATCATTTCGGCGGTTTGGAGAGCTTCGAAAATCATCTCGTCGTCCACGTGGCATGTCACGACCACGATCTCGGCTATCCCGCCCGCGGAAACGTGAATTCCGTGAGTCATCCCGGTCACGATTTCCACCGTCCCAACGCTGGCGCTTTTCTGGTGGTTGCCTGTTCGCTTGTCCTTCTTGATTGTATTGAGTAACTAGAACTTTTGCATCATCTAGACCAAGTTCGGTAAAGATAACCTCATCAAAAACGCTAGAGGGATCTTCAGATACAGGTCTAGGAATTCCAAAATTTGCTGAAAGAGAAAAATTATTCTTTCTGACTTAGCTGAAACTTGAAATCGCTTACAAGGAAGAAATCGAAAACAGCACATAAACTGCAACAAATGAAAGTAACTGTGCACATTCCAAGAAAGTGTCACTCCAACAACTGACTAGTAATCAGTTGCTAGGTTTACTTCTGATTGATAAAACCTAGACGCTTTAGTAGCAAAGAACCATTTCTTTGTTTTCCAGGGTAGCATATTATGAACGATTAATAAAAGTGTTTTTTGGTAACAGTTCGGTAAGATCATTTTGTAACTGTTTCATTGTGACGAGTCTAATGACTTGTTATAGTTCGAAAGATGTCTGAGAGAAATTTAGCTATTGTTTGTTGCAGAAATAAAAAATTCCACGCTTTGTTGACATACTTAAAGGGGTGAATGAATAAGGTCAAATCAGATTTCACTGTGTTTTCAATTGTTATTAAAAAAGACCGAAAATTCCGATCCTATGGTAGATTAAGCTATAGTTTGTTTTGACTGGTTAGAACCTGGGTGAGAAACAAATATAAATCCTCAATATGAATAAGCATTTTAAAATAATTGAGAAACCCATAATTACTTGCAGTCTAGAGAAAGCAAGAAATAGGCAAGTTTGACTCTGGCTGCCATTTTCAGTGAACATAATATGAATTTGAAAATACAAGGTCAATTGACTGAAACTCGTGGGGCAGCTTAGTCAGTCATCTAAAACATAAGACCAGGCAGCTGCTATCTCTTGATGCGAGTAACTACAGGTTTACACAGAAACAAATAACTAGCTGAGACTTATCTTCAAACTACCAGGCATTCCGTATTGTATCTGCCCATACAATTGCATTTCTATGATAGAAACTTCGAAGATTAACTATCGAAAGAACTGTATTCCCTTTTAAATAGATACATATTTACATATTACCAATTACAGAACGATTATTGTCCCAACAAATACTAAATGAATGCAAACAAATTGGTAAGCACTTAAGTATTCATCAAAATAGTACAATAGGATTTACCAATTAGTAGACCCAAGTATAAAATAGAACGCAGATTCATTAAAAGTAAATCCAAGGAAAACTTGCAGGACTTTATACCACCATTTCCAACAAAGAAAACTACCTTTCATCTCGAGAACTGCAGTTTCAGGCACTTCTTTGCCCTCCTCTTTTTCCCGTTGGGCAATTCGCCGCCTGAATTCTTCGTCAGTAGGAACGATAACAATGGCCTTTCGCTTGAAACCTTCAAATGGACGCATTTTACGGCGCTGTGCTGACGGGTACACATTTGTCTGTGATTAGGTTCAGGAGATGGAACCGAGCGAATGAGAGAAAAAACGAAGTTATATCAGTGCCACCACCAGGAATAGATAATTGTGCGCATTTGTACGATGGACCAAATCCAGTTGCAAGGTACATACCAAAAATGCAAAGCAAGTAAGGTACCTTGCATGTAAATTCGGACAAAATTATACATGCTCATTAACATGTACTTCGCCAAATCAGTCTATTGCAGCAGAACCAATCCAAGAAAACCATCATTAGAGCAAACTGATCAAGAACATCGGTACATTTAGTTTGAACAACTGTTCGACCAGTGCTCATATGGGGGTGTCTTAGAACGGAGGCCACTGAATACAATTTAACAAATAAAACATTTAATTCATAAACATATACTGATAATTAACAACAAAAACAAACTTTTAATACATATTTAGAGGAAATTCGACACCTTAAAATACATTACAAAAGACTAAAAACGTTTACGACCAACCCCTACGACTCGCTCACTAGTTTAATGAATTGAAATATCTTGGAAACACTATAACTTTTTAGAAAACCTACTGATACTAGTAAATTAACATCTATAAGAAATAACTGACCTGATCCAAAATGTAATTACGACGGCGCATACACGCCATACTAATAAGTGTATTCAAACACTTCGTTGCTTTGTCAATCAAAACATCCCATCTTCCGTGATAATTACGTTGTCGTGCAATGCCCATTACCTAAAATAACAAGTGAATAAATCTACGTTTAATTGGTTTGGACTTACTTTCATTTTATCTAAAATAAGGTTAGTTCCCAGTATATTATATTGCTTCTCACGATGCTCTGTTTTCTGTTGCTCAGCAAAATACGTTTTTCCTGCTCCCGGTAGTCCTACCATCATGATCACTTCACACTCAGACTTTGATTGAGGTGGGCAGCGACCATGCACGCGACAAGATAGGGGTAAACAGTTTATTTGTTGCCAAGACAAAGGATCGTCTGGAAAATCAAATAAATTCAAACAATCCTGAATATATATAAAAACAAAGTAAAGTGTTACGGAACAGAACTTTATGCCTCAATGATCATCGAATGGAAAATAGTGGTTATCAACAGATGACATGAAATGACACGTTGTGCCCGAGTGATGGCTGCTCAAAAGACCGAATTATCAACGAATTCAGTTAAATGATTGAAGACCAACGATGAGGCTACTAGCCTGAGTAGGTTTCTTTTATCGTAAGATAACATGCCTGAATTATTAGCATTATCAGGGAAACCTACATAATTAATTGCCATCAAAGACTTGCAAATTGCATTTTCGTAGGTCGTTTATTTTCCGATCTATAGGTCGTAACTGTAAGGCCTGATCTTAGTTTATCACATTGGAAAGCTCACTTAATACGTTTTGAAGGATGGATAAGGGCTGATTAACACATGTAAATTGACGAAGTCTAATAAATTAAATAGATTGTCTGGTTATGACCTATCACGCGTAGTCACCAATTAGATGAAGAACCACTTCTTCAAAGAAAAGCCAGCAAACGATTACAAGGGCAAGCAGCTGATAATTATCTTCTTGAGGTTACCAACATCCTTCCTATAGTGGCGAGGATTGATTGACTCTTGAAGTATTCTTTGGAAACGAAAGAGCTAGAATTTTAGGTCCTACATGATTTTTTCACACAGTAAACGTAGAGTAAAAAGTTTCTATACGGATGCTGGTAGTTGGAGACGTTAAACACTAACTCACCCGCTGACTATCACGAATCCATCCATCTAATTAACAATGCTTCGAGACAGGAAGCATCTACCTTTAGCATACTTCAAAGATTTTAGTAGTGATCAGTGAATATGAATCGGATCGATGGTTAGAGACCTTGAATGACATGGCTCAAAATCGTTTGCAATGGCGAAGATGCATCCACTCTTTGTGTTCTACCAAATTCTAATCTTCTGAATTCCTCATGTCATCTTTTTCTCTTTCCAAATTTATTTCACTGTACTATACTACTTCAATAATTTCTTTAAACCCTAATCTTTTGGATCTCTGATTATACTCCTACTACTTCTACCACTATGGGATTTGAATCGACAACTGCATCTCTGTGCTAATGTGGTATGGCAACTCGAACTGATGTACGTACGTACGAAGTTCTACGTTGTGACTGACTGACTGACAATCCAGGCAATAAGGGATTCCACATACAACAGGACAGTAATTCTGCGCTTTAGAGGTTTTATTACTGATATCATCAGATAATCTTGAGGGCACGAGCCGTTAGTGTAATGAGCACTGGTCTGGTAAACCAGGGGTCGGGAGTTCATTTCTCCCTGGAGGCAGTGCGTTCGCACTCACTTTCCCGACCGTTGCTGCTACCTTGACGTGGTGGTCGGGCTTGCCTATCGTGATGAAGCAATCGAGCTATGCTGGCTGGAACAATCGTTCCTCGAGGTCCTACCATGCCAGACAGGTCGATTGAAGAGCGGTGAGACTAAAAGCAGCAAACCCAAGGTCCGAAGGCGAAGTCGTACTGCTGACTGTACAGAGGTGTGAAAGCAGTAAGGTGTTTCCTTCAGACAACCAGCATGACAGCGATGCTGCCTTCCCACAAGGAGGGGTGGGGTTAGAAAAGGTCGACCCTAAAAATGCACACCTCGCCTTATCCCACGGATATCCGTCTCCGGCGGTAAGGTTTTTTTTGAAGAACGGAGCTAACACAAAAACTACCCACAAAAAGGTCGTGTGTGACCGACCTCAAGCAGTTGTCCCTTGGGCACTGCGGTCACGCTCTCAGGTCATTAAGACCACTTCTAACCCAATTTCCTTTTCAGGTACCTCTAGAAGAATCCTTCCACGGTGTGGGCAACCGGGAAGTGATAACTGCCCTCATACCTCTAACAACACTCAAGACCACTGTATTCATAATCAATCTCCTTCTTCAATTCCTACTACCTTGACTTTCAACACTAAACTTCCTCTCTCGGTTTCCTCCTCAAGTGTCACCATGGCCAACGATTCTAGTGCGCGAAACGCTGTCCCAGGTCTACTAAAACCTCGCTCCAAACTACACATTGGAGCCTTCAACGTACGTACTTTAAGTCAAATCGGTCAACAGGCCTCCTTAGCTAAAACCTTAGAGTCGCGTACCATTGATGTATGCTGTGTCTCCGAAACACGCATACAGGATCCTAGTGTGGTCATTCACCTGACCTCACCTCGCCAAAATGGACAGCCAACGAAATACACCCTCCGTGTATCTGGCGACCCGTTGGCTAGTTCTCGTGGACTTGCAGGTGTAGGTATAGCACTAAGTACAAGGGCAGAACAGGCACTACTAGAATGGATCCCCGTTGACAGTCGCCTGTGTGCTGTCCGGCTAAATGGCTCCGTAAGAACTCGGAAGGATAGGGACACACGTCGTTGCCTTTTCGTCGTTTCTGCCTACGCTCCCACTGACTGCAGCCATGATGAGGTGAAAGATGACTTTTACAGAAAGCTCTCTGAGCTTCTTCAGAAAGCTAAGCGCTCAGACATAGTAGTCGTAGCGGGTGACTTTAATGCCCAGGTAGGCAGCTTGAATCAAACAGAAAGACATCTAGGTGGGTGTTTTAGTATTCCGGCTCAACGAAGCGATAATGGTGATCGTCTGTTGCAACTATGCTCAGACAATCGTTTATTTTTGGCAAGCACTAATTTTAAACATAAGGAGAGACATCGTCTAACATGGCGACCACCTGCACCAAACCAACGATGGACTCAAATAGACCATATTGTCATCAGTCATCGTTGGAGAGGCTCAATAGAAGATTGTCGCTCGTATTGGAATACTTGTTTAGACTCTGATCACGCTTTAATACGAGCACGCATTTGTCTGCGCCTCAATGGACGCAGGAAAAGTAAACTAAGAAGACCCGTTAGGATTGAACTGGAGGACGAGAAAGCCAAATGTGAATTCCAGAGACAACTGAGTTCACATCTAGGCAGTTCTGTAAACGAGACTGACCCAGATGCTGCTTGGAAAGGCATACGAACAGCTGTGGAGACAGCAGTAACATCTATTAGTCATTTAAACCATAGGGCTCCAAAAAACCAGTGGATTTCTTCTAGGTCTATTTCACTGATGGATTCGCGTAAACTCATACCATCAGGCTCTGAACATGACGAAGAGCGTAAACAAATTAGATCTAGGTTAACTAAAAGTCTAAGGAACGATCGTGAGCAGTGGTGGGTAACGAAAGCAAAAGAGATGCAAAAGGCAGCGGCTGTAGGCAACACCAGGCAACTATTCAGACTAATAAAAGAAACTGGAATTAAGAAGTCAAGTGTAAGTGAGACGATCTCGGAAAAAGATGGAACCCTTATCTGCTCTCTACCCAAACGTTTAGAACGATGGGCGGAACACTTTAAGGAGCAGTTTAGCTGGCCTTCAGCTACTGCACAACTACCCACTATTGCTAGAAAACCTGAATGGAACATTGAAGTAGGCCCCCCGACCCTACTTGAAGTTCAAAAGGCTATAGGTAATCTGAAACGAGGAAGAGCAGCTGGTCCTGATGGATTGGCTCCAGAGGTCTTTAAATATGGTGGTCCAATTTTAGCGATTAGGTTGACTAATATTCTGGCTAAAATCTGGGAGACGGATGTAATCCCATCCGACTGGTCACAATCACTGATTGTCCCAATATATAAAAAGGGGTCAAAATCATCCTGCGATAACCATAGAGGGATTAGTCTGACTAACATAGTATCTAAAATACTAGCCTCAATAATTATCAGGCGCCTAACTAAAACTCGTGAACTGCAAACACGAGAAAATCAGGCTGGCTTCAGACCTGGTCGTGGCTGTATCGACCACATATTCACCATTCGTCAAGTTTTAGAGCACAGACATGCTTATCGGCGTCCGACAATGATAGTTTTTCTTGACTTGAAAGCAGCATTTGACTCTGTAGACCGAGAGGTTCTGTGGCAGTGTCTGTCATTGAAAGGTGTACCTGAGAAGTACATAAACCTTGTGAAGGCTCTTTACTCGAACACTATCAGTCGAGTGAGAGCTTATGGCGAACTGTCATATGATTTTACAACCTCAAGTGGTGTCCGTCAAGGCTGTCCACTATCCCCATTTTTGTTTAACTTCATTATAGACCTGTTGCTGGAAATAACACTCTCTTCGACTGAGTTTACAGGAATTGATCTCCTACCAGGGGGACCACTAAGCGACTTAGAATACGCAGATGACATAGTCCTGTTTGGTGAAGACGCTGACAAAATGCAGAGTCTTCTGTTGGAACTGAGTAATAATGCCAGGATGTTTGGGATGCGTTTCTCCCCATCCAAATGTAAATTGTTACTCCAGGACTGGCCTGCGTCAACACTCGAACTAAGGATAGGGAGTGAAGTAGTCGAACGCGTTGACAACTTCACTTATCTTGGAAGTCTGATCAGCCCTAATGGGTTGGTGTCTGACGAAATCTCAGCACGGATTCAAAAAGCTCGTTTGGCTTTTGCCAACTTACGTCACCTATGGCGAAGACGAGATATCCGTCTATCAATTAAGGGACGAGTATACTGCGCAGCAGTTCGCTCTGTTCTACTTTACGGCTGCGAAACATGGCCATTAAGAGTAGAAGATACTCGTAGGTTACTAGTATTTGACCACAGATGCCTTAGAAATATTGCTCGCATCTGCTGGGATCACCGAGTAAGTAATAGTGAGGTTAGACGCAGGGTATTAGGTAACGATGGTAAATCAGTTGATGAGGTGATAAATCTTCATCGACTGAGATGGTTGGGCCATGTGTTACGTATGCCTGAACACCGATTACCACGACGCGCTATGATGACTAGTATTGGGGACGGTTGGAAGAGAGTTAGGGGCGGCCAAACCAAAACATGGCATCAGTGTTTGAAGTCACTAACTTCTAGCCTGAGCCATGTTGGCAGATGCAGACTACCTGGTTGGGGTCCGCGTGACTATCGTAATAAATGGTTGGAGACTCTGTGTGACATGGCTCAGAATCGATCACAATGGCGTAGGTGTATACACTCTTTATCTTCCTTTAAACCTTGAGACTAAAATTGCTTCATATCTCTCTTCCTTCCTGTACTATATCCTTCTATACAATCTTTCTTTATATACTACCATCACTAAATTAATTGCTTCTATGAATCCGGTGTTCATCTTGTTGTGCTAAAGAGGTATGGCAACTTGGACCGATGCATATATGTGCCTGGTCCTACGTTGTAGCTGACTGACTGACAGATTAGATCTTGTAGCACGTGGGGTTTGACTATCTGAGGATGTTTTGCTTTCCGCAGACACTTGGATTTTACTAGTTCATGTTTCTTATAACCAAACAATACGACTGGTTGAGAACTGAGTCGCAACCTAGCACACAAATCCAGATCTACATCCGGATCATAAACGTGGTCAGTTATTAATGCAGAGCTTCGTGTAGGTGTGTTGGGCTATTGCCGTACCAGATTAGCACCACATGAACGTAACAAGATGAATTTGAAGAGACCGTGTAGGGAATGACAAGATCTTGGGGATATAGTTCGAAAAGGCAAAAGTGTATAAACAATAGGACACTGGGACCCGAGATCCTGAACGAAAGCACCTGAGCCATTGTGAACGTTTCTGGGTGATCAGTAGTGGCGGTTACCAGGTGGATCTCAGATGAAAAATAAACAATAACACGACTTTGACTAGCGGTTGACCACTACATGGACTGTCATCTTGCTTCAGCCTTACCGCCCCCAGATTTCTTGAAACTCACTGCTATGCTAGTAAGTGGTTTGTTGAGGTGGTAAAATACACATAACACGTGTTTTAACAACTCCACTCGAAGGATACCTGCAACTTAGCCAACCGATTTGGCATTTTCGCTTAGCACTTGATGTCTAACATTTTTGTTTCACATCTAGCTTCAATAAGAATGCTCCGAAGATACTAAACAGCATACGACGCCAGTCGTATATGTTTAACAAAGTAGATTGCTTGGTAGTCTTGTTTACGCCACAAGTAAGTCAAGCTGACGAAGTCTTATTAAACTTTCGAATTCATGTTAACGCCAACCCACAAGGGTTGATAAGACTTTTAAGAGAACAAGATAACCAACAACCTCAGTTACTACAGGTACTGGCAGACTAGTTCTGAAGTAACACATCGCATTTGAGTGATAAACACTATGAATTTGTTGAACCGCTAAGACCAGTAATCGAACATACTGTACAGTAACGTTTTGTAGACTATCAATTAAACTTTTCAGTCAAACCCTTAATGATAATCGCAAAAATTCCAGAAACCGGCTATTTAGTTATTTGAAAACAAAATTAGACGGCTGAAACTTACCGGACGGGATATTAGGACTAAACCAAGGAGACTGGTTTTCTTGACCGAAGTTGCAGGCAAACTCAACGTTCTTTACGTACACGTGCGGAAATAAAGCAGAATGTTCTCCTAACTGCGACTTTTGAACACGGAAGCACTCCCCTTGGTCCACACCATTGACACTAAACCTTAACAAAGCTTCAACACTTGTCCATTCCTGAAGCATAAGATAAATTCACAACTTACGATGAAAGCACCAACGATATCACCTTCTCCAAATGTACAACCATAGTCAGTAAACTTATTGTTTGTAGACTTTTTTCCCGTGCCCCCATAGCCAAAAGATTGAGGCTCTTCACCAAGAGTGAAGTCGGTGTCTTCTGTAGACCAGCCCACTCGTAGTACGTGAGTTGCCCCACCGACCAAACTATCATAGTTCTCCACCGGGAGATTTTTTACTACTCGTACTTCGAAAAATGACTACGACATAAGTGTATCATTAACACTTACCCTCCCAGATACTGAGCCGTAGTTTGCTCTTACTCCAGCCCACATCAGTGAGAAACCACCCTCAGTCAGAGGCTTAGCCTGAGAGCTAGTAGCATCGATCAAGAGATTCAAATCACAATTGTAGGTGTCTAGGAAGACAGATGCGCTTTCTTCCCAATTATCTGGTTCCGGAACCATCCTTGATTTGACCTGTGGGGATCTGGAACGTCTACGGGGTGACCTGCGAGAGTCCCTGTCTCGCGACCTAGATCTGCGACGGGGAGAGTGTGATGGTGAGCGCCTACGTTTGAGGTTTTCTTGTTCTGGTTTTTGATGTTGATCACCTGGACTACTATCCTTTTCATTCGCTAACTAACAAAATTACCAACGGACATGAACCACTTACCCCATTCTCACACCCACGTTGTGGAGACACTTTAGGACTTGAATCCAGCACATCACGCCCCGAGTTCTGACTCGGTTGCCTTGACAGATTGGCAGACGCCAAGTGTGGTTGTTCTTCAGGGTCTAGTGAATGAGACATGATTCGACGATCCTACCTGCTGGTTGCTTTTTGTCAGAATTAGGAGATGCCGTTTTGAGAGCTTCATTTAGGCGATCCATTAAAATTTGCTTTGTTCCGAAGGTATTGAGACCTCGCCTACCTAACTCGGCTCTCAGCTCCGGTACTTTCAACTTAGACACATCGATTTCCTCACTCATCGTTTAATGGCGAAACTATGGTGAGTGCGAACAAACAAGTCAACACAATGTTCCAATATTCCGAAACTAGGTAAGTTCAAGAACAAACTTTAAAAAGTGAAATTCATTCATATTTTTATTCTTCTTTAGACCTGATCAAGCTCTTTGGTCTACTTCTGAGTGACAGTGTTGTTATTTACACGCAATGTCTTACAGACTTGATATGTTTTGTGAAGGGGATTTTATTTACAGTGTTAAGATCGGCTTTTGAACTGGGGATAGTATCCACTAATTCCTTCTTGATATATGAGGTTGAAGAACCTCCACCCATTTCACCAAATCTTCATAATGAAAGGATGAGGACGTCGGAAAACAGGCCCAATGTCAGGTTAATGACAAACCACTGATTAGTCTGGAACTCTGACAATGAAAACCCAGATGTGTGAAGAAACGTGGCGGTACGAGATGTGAAGATAAAAGAGGTCTTTGGGACTTTTCTTGAGAGCAAACGATATGTGATGAATTTGTTGCTGAAGTTTCAAACCAGACCACAAATTAGTATTCCAGCTAATACGAATGATAAAACACTGGCGTGAACAAAACATTTGAAAGAAGAGAAAAGGTAAAGTAGCTCCAAATCAACTCTCAAAGAACCGATTATCAACCAGTCATTTTCCACAAACTAAATGATCCGATTGTTAGTGATATGTAGGACAGGTTTGGTGGATGGTGGTGAAGCTGTCTTTGAGCTGTAAACATGAACCGATTCACCTCCATCTGTCCTGGTCGGGATTTGTGGTGGAATGAAAAACGACGCTTGATACGCTGTAGTCAGGCTTGTTTATTATATGAAGTTTCGATCTGCAAAATCCGCAAGCCCCTTGTCTTATTTACTTGATCTGAATCTAGGCTCCTACGTGACCAGGCTTATAATTTTTATTCACCCTACTAAGCCCGCCGTAATCAGACCCTCTTTATTGATATATTTATCAAACCAGGATAACTGTGTTGTAAATACACTTCTTCACATTGTGATTCGTCACATCAGTTCGCCGGCACCGCATGTAAAAGACCCAATGCGATTCCGTATCTCAAATCACAGAGCTGTGCTATTATCATTAAGAGAACACAGGCAACTGTAAAGTGCGACCGGATGAAAGCTGATTAATCAAAAATCAAAGCGCTCCTCATCGACACATAAACTATTAACTCTTGACGATCCCAATGGATTGGTGGGCTAATATTGTTCATCATACCGGGGGGATAACAGTCTTTAACACAGAAATAAAAAACTTAGAACGAGCCTTTATAGATGTCCGGTATAACGGAAAGAGTGCGCTGAAAATCCCCAGACCAAAATCAGTTAAACAAACTCTGAGAAATAACGAAATGTTCTCTCACAATGAACATACTGACTTGAACACGAAACCGACAAAAACTAGTGATTTTATTATGTCACCGCTCTTAATATGAGCAGTTTTAACGTATCTCCCTCAGTATCATACTCCATGATCAGAAATTCTTCTCTGCCTCCTTTTCGATGTTAAGTTCGCGCATGGTAGCAGTTTGAATAAACAGTGTTCTAGTCTAGGCACACTTTGTCGGAATATTTTGCCATAATAAAAAGCAATATTACACAGTCACGGAATCCAGATAGTAGGTCAGACGTCCTATCTTACATTGTTGCGGAAGGAAACGATCGGATAAATTATGGGGTTTTGAACAGAACGATAGGTTATTAGAAATACATCAAGATTACAGCTTGTCAAACACTGGACTATATTGGAGCATAAAAATTTAAGAACTATCCTACATACGTAAGATGACAGGTAGAGCAATAAAATTCCGATGAGCTAATAAAATGCTCCGTGTGAAAATTGCTAGGATGACAGAAAGACTATGAGAAATTCAAAAAGCTCCCTAGCATATAATTTCCTTGCCGCCAACTACGGTAAAGTTTTCGGACTAGATGAAATCACGTGTCATGAAAGTCACGTGTACATCACGGTTGTGTGAGGCAGATTTCCAGGCCAAACTTTTGTAGCAAATCTTTTGCGTATGCGTCAGTAAACGGTAGTGTTATTAGTACATCCTTGATTTGTCTATCCAATAGTATACAGGAGAGAACTTACCTCGACCTGGTTTAATGCCTTGACACCATGGGTAGACTGGTTTAAACCTCAAGGTTAGAAGGTGGCGTGTCCAAACTGAGACCGATTACCTTGCGGAGAGACAAAAACTATTCTTTCAGCTGATTATCTGACTAGCGAGAGAAAGTTTAGTGGACTAGAACAATACTAGATTTATTCCCAATACTAGATTCAGTATAGTGTGAATAGATGAATAAGTAGATAGATGACTAGTACGACCACAACGGATTAAAAACTGGAAAATATAACCATGTCCAAACTGGGCATCAGAGTAGAAAAATAGAGTACAAAACGTTTTGAACTATAATAGCTATGGGACAGAAAAGGGTATGGCAGCAAATTATGCATCAAATGAAAGCCTATTGTTTATAAAAGAACACGAGAACAAAACCAAATTTCAGCATTTTTACAAACTTTAACTTAAATACCCCCCAAATAGCCTCCACTGTTTTTCATGGCTTGATTATTTCTCTATCCCCACCAGTTGTTTTCAGACACAGAGTTCCTAAGTCCTCACTTGAGTACACATGATTACTTGTGAATAACACGTCTCTTCGTTTTATCTGGCATGAAAAGCTGTTTCTACTGCTATTTTTGTTCACACATGTTATTTTTATATTTTTCATTTGTTTGTTGTTATCTGATTGTTCTTTTTATTGATTCTGAAGTTTTTGATCTCATGATGCTACCAGTGTTTGATAACTGAGGAAATCTCTAGGCTTCATTCTCCTCAACTTCTTCCAAAATGAATATAGAATCATTAGTTGAAAGATATGTTTAAGACCTATTGTTGAATATTATTCATTCTTATTTTCCATCTTACGCCTATCTCAATACAATGGTGTTTCATTTGCAAAATGTTTAAAACTTAATAACACGTTGACTATCGTTTCCAATGTCATATCCAAGGGCTTGAACTCCTCTGAAAAAGAAAACCTAGGTCCCATTTGATTCTCCGCTTCAAGCTCCTCAAAAATCTTCCTGGTTCTATTTGTGATATAGGCCTTCAGCAATGAGCCTTAGTACTCTTGGATTACGATTTCGAAATCCAATACCGACGCACCCCACAATCCGGTCAAGCAAATGCCATATCACGACTCATTAATGATCATTCAGCGACTGAGGAAAATATGGTAATCGCATCTCTGTCAGTGGAAGATCACGCAAAATGTTATCTGACAACTGTGATACGGGCCTTGCCGGTGTCCGCGTCAGACATACAAAACGCTTCGAGGAATGACCCCGTCATCAAGAGGGTAATGAGCTATATCACCAATTGTTGGCTGTCTGTCAAGTCCGATGGAGACATGAAACAGCTGTATCAGCGGCGAGATTCACTATGCATTGTAAACGACTGCGTGATGTTTGGTGAAAGAGTGGTTGTACCAGAGTTAGATGAAAAAGTGGTGAAGCAATTTCACATTGGTCATCCCGGTATAAAGCGTATGAAGTATATCCTCAGAAGCCATGCTTACTGGCCCCTCATGAACCAGCACATCACGAATCTAGTAAACAAATGCATTCAGTATCAGCAAGCAGCGAAGTGCAATGTGAAGATGCCGCCGGTCTCATGGCCACAGCCTGAGTATCCTTGGTCTAGAATACATGTCGACTTTGCCGGTTCAATCAACGGAACTACTTATCTAGTCGTGGTCAACGCCTTCTGAAAATGGCTGGAGATTTTACACGTCACGCCATCAACGACCAGCCAGACGCTGAAACATTTGACGGAGTTGTTCTCACGCAATGGATTACCGGATGTGATTGTATCCAACAACGGCCCACAGTTCACTTCAACGCAGTTCCAGGAGTTCTGCAAAAGCCTATCCATCAAGCATCTTCATGCCCCACCTTACCACCCACAATCGAATGGGCAAGCTGAGAGATTCGTGGATACGTTTGAGAGGGCTCTGATCAAGTCAAAAGGGGAGGAGACGCCAGTGTAAACACTGCAGAACTTTTTATTCATCTACAGAACGACCCCTAATGACATGCTGCCGGAGCAGAAGTCCCCCTCAGAGATCCTCATGGGAAGAAGGTTGAGGACTATTCACAATTTGATGCTACCAAAAACCACACCACCTTCAGCGCGAACCACGTCCCAGAAGCTACCCACGTACAAAGTTGGATGCCCAGTATTCGCTAGGGACTACAAAGCAAATCATGATCCTTATATTGAGGCGCGTGTGGTTAGAAGGGTAGGTAAGGTCATCTACGAGGTTGAGATGGGAGCAGATAGGTGGTCTAGGCATCGGAACCAACTGCGGAAGCGGTCAGCTCTAGCGCGCCCATCGACCGAAGGAAAGATCCCTCTGGACATATTGTTGGATGCGTTTAATCTACCGGAGCCCAAACCCGATTCTACCCAACACTCGTGAACATACTTCTTTCGCTAAACTAACCTACGACCACCTTTCTCCCGTTAACTATGCTGGTATTAAACTAAACAAACAAGAACGTAGAGCCAATACTCCCACTTTTTCCTCTTCTCATAGTAAGAGCGACAAACCACAGGGTTTACAGCACACCATTTTATTAGACAAACACTCATCCTTCCTGACACTAATGTTAATTAATTCCCGATCTATTCAGAATAAGATGACTCAACTACGCGCCCTATTACTTTTACACAACCCCTCACTTGTTTTGATAACGGAAAGTTGGTTGTCCTCCGGTATCACAGACACGTACCTCCAAATAGACACGTATGAGCTCTTCCGCTGTGACCGAGTCACCAAGAAGGGTGGCGGTTGTCTCATATATGCATCAAAAAACATGAGGACGGAAATCTATAGTGATCATATCCTCAGTAAAGTACCAGATTCGATGTGACTTACTGTACACACCCTTGAATGTAAAATACTAATCGGATGTATATATCGAGCTCCGAATACCCCTAGTCTGACTGACACCATTATAAGTGAGTCATTTGCTAAGGCTGCCTCGCTTGACTTCGCCTACAA